CGTATCTGAGCAGAGCACAGCGAGGCAGAGGAGAAATGGGCAAAGATACTGGAAAGCAAATTTTTAATTTACTATGTCATTAGTTGGCCATCAAGAAGGAACAGGAAAACAATTAGGAAATGGAGTGGTAAACAGACATTACTGAACAACGCTCACGATACTTCCACGTTTCAGCCAGCAGGCTCACACATGGAAAATCATGAAAATACCTCTCTTGTACTGTATTTTACTCAGTTTTCCAAAATGCACATTGAAACAAATAGATACATACCTGAGAAGTTAGCTACATGGGTACACTCATCCATTACTCCTTTCATGAACCTTATGGATTCTCTTTGCAAAGTGTCACTCTTTCTTCTCGTGTTTATCCCGCGTCCTTGTGGGCTGGTTAAGTTTTTATTGCTACTGCTGCTGGTTGAAAATGTTTGATTTATGCACTGCATTTTGGGAGCATCTTGTATTAAGAGTCTTTCTGAAGAGGCACTTAGAGTACTTTTATTGGTGGTAAAGCTGTGAACAGCTTCTTTAGATACAGCAGCGCTCATGGACTCAAAGTTGAATATCCTGGAGGTAACATCCATATCCTCCAGACTGTGCACACTGTCAGGGAAGTTTTTCACAAAATCTTGTCCCATCTTGAAAGAATCTGTCTAAACAAAGACAACGGGTCATTTGTTAAGGGTTACTCCCTTGAACTAGTTGGTTAATCATATTTTTAAGATGAACTCGTTATTAAAAAAACTAGGAAGATACAAAAAGCACTGATTATAGTAGTTGTTATTTCCAGTCTGCAGGTCACTCAGTTATATCCTGACCACCATAGCCTCTTGATTATTTCATTCTACATTTCTATCAGCTTAAAAAAATGCAGGAAGTACCTATATATATATATGGTAGCTTATGATACAAACACATTTGCTTTTCATTTGGTATTAAACTCTGAATTTGTAATTCCCATAATTTAAGTTTACATGCCATAATAATAAAAAAAATAAACATATGTGACCAGGTCTAATGTTAGGTTTAGGCCTGAAAAATCAACTGTCCCTAAATACTAGGGAGACAGAAGCTGAACATCTTGAAATGTTTCTTCTTTTCATTTTGTCTTCTCCATCAGTGTTCTGGAGTGTATTTGACTTAATAATGGCAAGTTCCCAAGTAACTATCTCCACCCCAGCTCCTCTTCTCCTGTTGTAAGATATTTGAAAAAGAACTGTCACAAAGCAAAGAGTCTTAGGAAAAAAAAAGTTATTTATTAGAACTTCAACTTTTTTTGTCACAGATTAGATTAAATGTGGTCACAGGAAAAACTTGTAGCAAGGGCTACACTTAACACTCACCAAACCATCAAAATATTAGCTTTATTTTTCAGGGTTTCCTTCAAAGATTAAATTTATCGAAAGCATAACAAAACAACATGCAGGTGTGTTTTAGCTAACAACTGTCTGCCTTTAGTGCAAGTAAAGAGAAGTTCCACTATTTGTTAGATTTGCACGTGTAAACATTAGCAAATAAGGAACATAAACTAGACTTACTCCACAGTATTCAAGCATTTGAATTATTTCTTCTTCATAAACGGTTTCTGTAAAATACTGTTTCTCGAGCTCTCTCCAGTTCACTGCCTTGCTCAACACCCCCTGAGATTATAAACAAGAGCATCAAGTACACAAGTAAAACCCAGAGATCAATCTAAAACGATGATACACGGAAAAAAATTGATCTGTTCCCCTTGTGACTTATTTTCCCAGCGGAATTCCGCCCAAGTTCCCAGACAGCACTTCAAATCACTGCGATCAAAGCATAAGCAGGCATTACAACACAGGGCATGGAAACTCAGCTCCCCTGTGGCCAACCCAAAGCTTTTAACTTCCCTTTCTGATTAGCACGTAACAACATTAACGAAAATATCTGTTATTTACCGTAGTAAAGACTGCAGAGGCTGTTGACCAGGAGAGACACGGAATCAATGGCAATGGTTTAGGCCAGTTTGTCACTGCCAGTGAGGCCATCTGGAATCAAAGGCATATTTTAATGGCATATTTTAATCTTGAATTCACAATATGCTAGAGAGAACTCTCTCATCCTCAATTTTTTTGTTAGTATCTATCAAACACATGGTGCCAAAGCATTCAAGGGCTGTGGCAGCTGGATATACTTTCACCTATTTAGAAGTTACAATCCACTCTTCAGTGATTTTTCTAATAAGCATTGCCCTGGATAACATTCACTTCAAGCTAAATGGGGTTTTTATTGTAAGAATTCCCAATGGAATATTTACTAAATCGTCCATTAATTATAATTATAACCCCATGAATTATAACTATAATTGCAATTACATTATCATAATAGCAATAAAAATTAATACAAGCTATTAGTTGTTTAAAGCTATAAAAACATCTAGAAAGCTTTTTATCAAGCTCTTGCAAGTTTATTTCAAGGCAAAATCAAGGCAATCTATGGGAAGGGCTATTTAAAATTCTATACTTTTGAAATTTGCACACTGGAAACAAAATATGAAGGAGAAGTAATTCAGCATGTTAAGTGAACTCTTTTTCCGTCCTTTAAATTTAAATTATTACTTTTACATTAGTTCTCAGAACACATTTTTGTAAATATTCTGTTTATCCCAGAAAAAAACAGAGCAAATAAAATTCAATGTACAGAAGTTCCCTATATGGTATGTCCTTGACAAGTTTTATTTTATTATTGCTCTACACAGAACCCCTTAATACAAAACACCCCATCTCTGTGTCAGATGTTCTAATAAATGGATTTATAGAACTGAACTATAATTCTACTATGATTATTTCTTATTAATAAAAAGTTACAAGAACACCACATATCTCTGTTCTAATAGCCAGAAAGTCTGACTTCTTTTCTCTTCCAGCTCTCCCCATTAGAGGAACTGAATCAATGCCACCCACCTTCCCTTGTAAAACACGTTCTATAGAGGATCAACACCAAATATCACTCATTTCACTGGTCAAAATCGTACCAGAAGTCCCGTAAGTAAGTCAGGACTAGCCAAAAATTTATCTTCCTGGACTAAGAAAAAAAATTTCAAAGGAGTTTCCAAACTCAGTTTTCTCAGCTCTCGCCTCCTTCTCTGCCCAAAAGCACAGGATACAGAATTTGGTTGTAACCACAGCATTTGAACTGTTGTGCATGGTTAGTGCTGCATTTACCAGTCTGAGAAGGCCAATACAGCTTGCAAATAAGGAAGGAATAACACAAAAGTTGTCGACCCAAGAGGGTGACATTTGCGTAAATCAAAGGTGCACTGTACATTTACGACATTTAAGGGTTATAAAGTCGTGCTTTAGGGGAAAATATTTCCCTTTCAGTAAACACTACCATTCACCAACGTTATTTACTTAGCTCCTAACAACAACCAAACGAAGGTGTGTTGTTTTAATGAGCTTTGCACCTCTGTCTCACAGGCCCATCGATCAGGGTAGATTT